TTAAGCTGTTTCAGTGAAAAAGAAATGTTCTTCTGGTTTAAAGGATGCAGTGTCAAGTTAAAATGTTGTATATATAATTTTACATATACATTTTTAAAGCAAATGTGTTATTAATAATCTAATAATGTAATTGTAATTTGCTGTTCACTGTTTATACTCTTAGCATATTTGTGACACTTCATTCAGCCTGGGCAATGAAAACAGAATGTTCAGTCTCAGCTTTGGTTTTAGTCCATTTCTAATCAGTTTCATTTTGTTTTTCATTAGCTCTGTTGCATGGATTGCACATGCTTGAGTGGAATGTTCTTAATAGACAACATAAATCTAGAAACCATACTTCTATCTTATCTCTTTTCCATGCCTTTTGTTACAAGTAGCCCTAAAAATAACTATTAGTGAAAGAGATTATAGGGGGAAATATTTTTTTCATCTTTTTTACTTTGTGGTTTTGACAGCATTTTGTGTCTCGTCATTTTCAGTGAGATTGCTCACTCAAGTAAAACTACACACGTAATTTCAAATCAAAGGGGCAATTTTAATCCAAAACAACATGTCAGAAATTTAAACTGGCTGAGACGTGAGAAAAAATTAGATCAGGGATTTTCAGCTTGGGGTCAGGATCCCTCAAGGGGTTGCAAGGTTCTTACATGGGGGGTCATGAGCTGCCAGCCTCCACCCCAAACCCCGCTTCGCCTCCAGCATTTATAATGGTGTTAAATATATTTAAAAGTGTTTTTAATTTATAAGGGGGGGTCGCACTCAGAGGCTTGCTATGTGAAAGGGGTCAGCAGTACAAAAATTTGAGACCCACTGAATTAGATGTTTTGGAAAACAGCAAGAAAAGCTGTACAATCAGAAATGTAGGAGTATCAGGTATGAAAATGTTTTGGGGGCAATCAATCTTCTTAGGCCTGTCTTGTGGTTTTGGAGAAGACTTTGCAGAATTCAGTAACAGAGCCATGCAGGTGCCAGATTTTGCTGGGAAGTGAACACCTGCCAGGCTATTCCAGATAACTCAGCAGCTCATAGGCATTTTCCCAGGCTCCCAGATGAATGGTCTCTAATAGCCGTGGGAGAGGGCTTTCCACTGTTATACACTGTACCACAGGCTCTTCTTGGCAGCCTTGTTGGAAGCTCAAGTCAACTTGGCTGTAATTCCTTTGGAAAACAAGTGTTGCTGGATAGTTTTACAGTATAAACTCAGCGTCTGATATTTCCTCTCAGTGTCCTGGGACTGTGAAATATATCAGGCAGGGCAAATTACCACTCCCTTAAAATGCATTACTCACTGGAGCACATTGTTGCTTAAACTAAACTGCATCCTTGCTAGGACTCCATTTATTCGGTCACGTTTTGGTTTCCAGTGTCTCAGTGAATGATTTTGGAACTCTGATATGATGACTTAGATGTACAGTTTCAAAATCAGAATATCCACTCCCCTCAATAGAAGTCTCATTTCTGCATTATTTACTGTAAACTGGAAAACATTTTTCCGATTTCTGTGTTGGTAACCTACATGTAGGAGGCTGCAGAATACACAGGCTCTTCAGATAGGAAGAAGGCGGCATTTCTGTAGTATCTTCATTTCTTGATCTTGTGTAAGAGACTAGTTAAGTTGCAGATATTTTTCCTTGGAAGGAGCAGAAAGAACTCTATAGTGTTAGTAGCATTGCAGCGCTGCTGTATTATCAGCTGACATTGTTACAGCTGTAGTTTTGCTAACACAAACTGATGTTACTGGATGGAGCAGTTCAGAAGTTCCAAAGACATTAATGCACTAGCAAGAGGTTTTTGAAAATATTTGTTAAAAATGGAATATAATGTTCTTTTAAAATATATTACACCCCAATGCCTGGCATGCAGATATCCACATCTTAAAACACACACCACAATTAGCAATAACTGGCACCCTTACTAGCATTCTCAGCAAAGAGTGGAAGGATGGATGGGTATGAAGACTGAACTTCTCTCTTACAATTAGTCAGAGTTCTTCCAGTTCTGGGTTGATGCACTCTCGAGAAACAGCGTGGCAAAGTGGCTCAACCATGGCTGATGCTGTTCCTTCTCTTTTATCCACAGGGGTTATGAACACGATAAATGGAGGACTTCAGGGTCTAGAGCTGTCAACAGTAGCTTTTACACATTAGATTCACTTTTAAAAGAAATGTACTGATTGCTAGAACCAACTACGCAATATCTACATTGCAATTTCTTTTCATTGCATGATCATACATTTAATACTCAAATATAGATGCAGCTATGAAGAAAACAATTTATTAGGTGGGTTTGATGAACACAAGTTTTAAATTATTGCATGTAAATATTTTTCACCTCCTAAAAGAAAGAGTGAAGAAAATTATTCCTGAGGTGCAGCAATTGTACAGACTGCATTCATCTGCAGGTACAGACTGCATTCATCGTTTAAGTGATAAACTTTGGCTGCTAGAGCTGCTGTACTGACATGATATCCCCTATTAACTGATCAGCAAACCGATATTTAATTGAACTGCCTTTAGAGCCTCATGACAATATAGCTTTCCTGCTGGTAGAAAGGTTCCACAAGGGAAGAATCAATGAAGAGGGGAAATTAAAGAGACATATTTAACAATATCTCAAATTACGTTTTGGACATATCCTGTATGACTCTGTCACCAACAGAAGTCAACTTGGAATCATGCACTAACAAGAGGCAACTGAAGTGAAAATATCATAGAGCTGGGTGGGGTGGGGGTTGTCTTACTCCCAAGAGCAGACATATTGTAAATCAAAGGTCGTTAAGATCAATTTGAATCTCTGCTTAGGTTGTTAGTTGGTCAGATATGATTAAAGACTTACTTCTTACAGGACAGCTGGAAAACTAAACAGATAGACACGTTGATCCCATTCTTAGAAGAATCTCGGGCATGAAGCATTGTGTTTTAGAGTGAGGTGGGAAATGTAAAAGATGATCACCTTTTGTTTGAAGTTTTAATAAAAAAATACGATGAAATTGAAGTACTTGTTCAGTGTTGTGAGGAACATTCAGGCGGAGAGGATTTCCTCATTTAGACATCTATTCTCCTCATTTAGAGACTGGTGTGTAAATTTGTATTTTTACTAGAGATGGTCAAGATTTTTTTAGATGAGAGAATTTTTAATCTGAAAATACCGATTCATCAAAACGGAAACTGTTTGTGGAAATGTGTCAGTTTAGACCAAAGTTTTGTTGGACAGGTTTATCCGGAGTGGGGGGGGGGGAGAATGTGTGTGTGTCAGAGAGGGACCCCTCCTGCACACGAAAAGAGCCAGTACCCCAGTGTTTAGGGCACTCACCTGGAATAAGAGACCCAGGTTCAAGTCCCTACTCTAAATCGGGCAGATTCGGACTGTTGGCAGTCCGGTCGCTCTTGTGTGCTTTTTGTGAAAAATTTCAAGAGGTCTTGTTTCTGATGCAGAACAAAAACAAACTTTGAAACCTTGAAATTTTTCACAAAACAGAATTCTTGTTTTTTTGCCAGCTCTAGTTTTTACAGACATCTCTCTGTTCCACTGTTACTGAGATCACAGTGGAAGGCATTGTACTGTCACAATTACAATTTGTTTATAGAAAGCGCAAAGTCTTGTAGTCTTTGATTTGGCTAACCCCACTGACAGTGTGTCAAAAGGATAGTGGGTGCCAAACTGGAAATAGCTAACAACAATTTTCTTTAATTGTGTGCTGTAAATATGCAACTAATAAAGGTGATGGACTGCATCCAAAGTGTTCCTTGTTTTTAAAGGGTGGCTTAACTTGATACATCTTGACTCGATCTCTAAAGGGAGTCAAGTATTCAGTTGTCTTCCTAAGGGAACAAGCTGGCTGATAAATTATTTAGGGATTGATTATGATAAATAAGCATGGTACTGCATGAAGGATGGTGTGGTAGAACACCACTGCAGGGGTCATTCCCAGAGGCACTGTGCAAACTAGGAATCTCTGGAGCATGCAGAAGGGAATGAAGCTGCATTGTCATCCTTGTGCTGTGGTCAACATCCGGACCATCTGCTCCTGGTTAGCTCTCCTGGCTGGAATTGTGATGGGGATATGTGGTCCTGCGCCTTCCCTTGCCTTCTTTCTAGAGTCGAGAATGGCAATATTTATTTATAAGCTTTTCTGTGGCACTTGTCACCAAGGTATCTGAGTGCCTTGCAAACAGTAATGAGTTTAACCTTGTCACATCCCTGTGAGGTAGGGAAGAATTATTATCCCTACTTTACAGACTGAACTGAGGCACAGAGAAACTAAGTGACTTGCCCAAGATCCCACAGGAAGTCGATGGCAAAGCAGAGAATAGAATAGAACCCAGTTTTTTTGGAGTTGCAATCCAGTGTACAAGATGATCTTTCTAGCTTTGAGAACCTTTATAGCACAAGGATTCTAAGTGTGGTCAGCCGCTGGGAACGAGGCTCTTTTGCTGAGTTTGATCACAGTTTGATCACCACATGGTATTTATCACTGCAATTAAATATAGCCTGATCTTGAAGGGCGCTGCTTTTCTTGTTGAACTCAATGGGATTGGCAAATGATTAGCATCTTTTAGAATCTGCTCATAGCTGGCAGCTCCATACCAAACTTTTAAAAACGTTACGCAAGCCAAGGTCTTTCTCTAAAAAGCGATTAGTTAAGAACATTTTCAGCTGCTTCCTTGGTTTGTGGGGTCACAATGAACAGTGTCTTAGTCTCCAGAGCTGTTTGTCTGGCACCTCTTGTGGGCAATGAATTAATTGAAATTAATTTCTGTGATTGGATAGCATAACTGATCAATTTTAAAATCCACAGCTTTTTTTTTTTACTCTGCTCTACATTAGTTAGTTTATTCTTGACTCTAAGAAGTTTTTATTAAAACTATTTCTTTTGGAGAGACGCACATCTTGTAAGTGAGAGCTATGCCTTCCTTTCCCCAAACAATCAGGAGATGTGTAGCATACTGTGAGAACAGAATGTCCTTACACTCATTACATCACTCTGTTTAATGTTGCAGGTGGAAATTTTCACATTACAGCCTACTTCATAAAGAGATGGGTCAATCTCCGTTGTGTGGTGGGGAAGCAGTATCGCGGTAAGCAGGCAGTTTCTTATTCCGTTCCTTAACATTTAGCACAATTGGGAGAAGGGAGGGAATCATAAACACAGTGTTTCCATTAGAATTTTGATTCAGTTTATTAGTTTCTGTTATTGTTTTGTTGTGGGATTTTTGTTTTTAATCAAAAATATTTCCAAACTGTTGTTTGTGTGTTTCATTTAACTTTAAAGTTGCTTACTGCCTTTTCCAGACTAATCAGCTCGGTCATACCAGATTTTATATTTGTGATGAGGCTCAGCATTTTACTGAGGCTCCACAAGGTGAATCAACCACAGGTTGCATTCCCATGAGTCACATCATTATTGTTTGAATATCTTATGGTATCAATTGTATGGTACAAGCGTATGCAAGCAAAAGCTTTCATTGAGCCCACTGCTGTAAAACCCCTACATAGGTGATGTCATTGGGCCAGAAATTTTTCTTCTTCATGTTTTTCCAAGCCAAGATGCTCTGTAAGGAAGTGATATCAATCCTGTTGCTCCAACAACAATAAAAAGGAACCATAACAATCACTGCCCTTTCAGCTGATCTTTTGAATTTAAAAGAAAAATAAAGTAAATCAGCTAAGCGGCCTTAAAATCTTTTAACTGCTTGAATAACAATCTTAGTAATGTCTCTTACCTTTTATAGGGTTTTATTTGCTATGTTTATGGACATTTGTTAAGTCTCTTCTGTTTCAAATAACTACTAATTTTGTCTAACTTCATACTGAGTGCAAAGATTAGAGTGTTGATTTTAAGTATTTCAGCAAAGCTGTACATTTTCATGGCTGTTTTGGAATATTAGATTATATTGTAATAATGTCTTTTACATCAAAACTTTATTTGTTTTGGATCTAAGCTTTATTGGAATTTTACATGAAGTATTGTAGTCTAGTGACAGATTTGTTTTGTTAACCAGCAAGAGACTATCTGGCAAAATGTAACAGTTAAAACAACCAAACTAAAATGTATTTGATCTACCAATACTATCAGAAAAAATTCTAAGGCCATGATCCTGTAACGAGCTCCACATGAATAGAACCCCCTGCTCCCACACAGAGGTCGTTGAAAGACAGTAGCCAAATTTGTTGTTGTTTCTTTGTCGTTAATAATAATTTTTATTATTAATAAAAGCTGCTGCCGCACTCTAATAAGTATATTTCCTGAGCTAATAAACACTTTGGCCTCAACAGTTCTTTTAGTCAGGATACATGTAATACTGCAACCAAAAAGAACACATTGTTTATCATTTAAGTACAATTCTGTATTTTGCAATTGAAACGCATGTTGCATTGGTTCATTTTACCGTCAAAGCTGAAATAACACATTGTCAGAATGCTTAATATCTGAGGCTAGGAGCAACCCTTCTGCGTATGCATCTTATCCTTCCTGTGCAGAAGGTGGGGATTACTGCCCCCACTCCCCATCCCAGCACCACTCCTTATTTCCTCTGGAGCCTTTCTGCTTGGAGCTCTGCAGGGCTGAAACCAGAAGAACAGTGGGTCCGACTACAAGCCACCACACCAACCCACAGATCTAGTAGTAATTAATACAGCATTAACTTTTGTAAAGTTACCTTAATGGCTCCTGCATAGCAGCCATCGGAGGACTTGGCAAATGGCTGCACAGAGCACGCTGTCAGTGAAACACCACAGTCTTGTGGAGAAGCAGCCATCCATGTGGATAGCTCCATGTTCCTCCCCTGTTTGCTGCCCTTTGATGGAATGTTCTGAGGGAAACTGTGTGGTCAGCCTCCTAGTTTTCCTGCCTATCTTACCTCTTCCCCCTCCTGTAAGACAGGATGTTCTGGCCCATTGTTATAAAAGTCTGACAATTTCACATATAAATCCTAAATAAAAATATGCCATTTTAATGGATGTGGAAATAATCGCAGATTGCTAAAACAGAACACCCTCCTCTCTCTCTCTCTAGTAGTTTTGTCATTAAATGGAGTGATGCCTGATGTACTCTATTCTGATCAGTGGTTCAGAATTGTTATTACTGAATCCTCTTCCCTGTAGTAATGTCAGATGACTACAAAGTTTTGTTGTTATGGATTAACTCTGGGAACTGTGTTTTTAGGAGTAGGATATGTGAGATCGTAGTGGTAAACAGTAATAAATCGTTTAAACACTTTAAAATCCCCTTAGTCATAGTTTGAAAGATGTTTCCATATGTCATGTTATGTCCAATTTTGATGCAATACATTATACTGATGTTATAAACATGACAAAATTTTTGGGATGAAAAGATGAATCATCAGACTAGCACAAAGGAAATATGCTGAACGACTTGCCAGTCAGGTTCCATGTGATATATTTGTCCTGGGCTCAGGTGGACTAATTTGCAGCCTAGTCTTTTCTCTGGAGAACTGAGCTTACTCTGTCCTATTGATAACTGAATGATTTACCCCCTCACCCACAAAAAAACCACAAGTGAAGGGGGAGGAGAGAGTGGGAAATTGCAAAAAGTGAGGTGGGAGAAAAGAATTATTGTGCATTTTAAAATGTCGACTGCTTTGATTTACAAAATGTAGTACACATATACGTTGCCCTTATAAAAACTGTATTATATACTGAAAGATGCATGTAATCTTTTTGGGGTTTGTTGTTTTACACAGAGCTGCGTGTATTTCCAGACAAATTTGTGGTTTGTGTCACTAGACTTGAATCTAATCCCAGTCTTTGGACAAGCGAAAACGGAGCACTGGTATGTATGGAGGAGTACTAGAATAGTCTGATTTATTGTTCAGTGGTGAGACATGTTTCTGTGTAGACTTAGTCATTCAAATGCTAATCTGATATTTTCTAGGGATGGAAAAGATCATCTAAACAATTGGGCCAAGATGTTCACAATGGGAACCTAAAGTTAGTCTTTTTGTCACCTAAGTGGTCTGATTATCAACTGGGCTGAACACCCAACACCTCCCGCTGAAGCTAGTAGGAACTGCTAGAAGCTCAGCACTTTTGGAAATCAGACTACTTGTTTAGAAACCTAACTTTAGGTATCCATTTTTGACTATGTGGCCTTGAAACCTTTTCTGTTACCAAATATTAAGATTTATAAGGTCCACCGTATTATTTATTTTGCCTATTTTTTTGGCATCTCTGTTCTATAAGACAACTAATAAGGGTCAGCGTTGGCACTGCTGGAACAAAATATGTTCCCCTAATAAATTTATGGGAAAAAAGGTATTGCTGGGTAGTTCATTACCAGTAAAAATTATTACTTATATATTTCATCTAGAAGGCTCTATCAGGGTCAACAGCTTATGAATTTTATACTGCAGTTAACCACTGGTTGTCTCATGAGTGCTAACATTGTCCCAGGTGGCCTGTTTTATAACAGGCTGTTTCTTGTGCACTCATGGTGAATGTCATAAGTACACATTAAGGTCTGTGCATGTATTGTAGGCGTGATTAATGGAAATATTAATTTTAAACATTAAATTTAATTTAAGGCCCTTTGTAACAGGAAAGTTTCTTTCTAACATCAGCAACGAGGGCTTTATATTCTTTATCATCTTGGTCCCAAGATCGATAAACACCACAGGATAAGTAATCCAGCAAAAAGAGATGTTTAGGTTGCTCAAAAGAAAATCTAGTAAACTGCTTTTGAAAATATTTTGTTACCAACCGGAACAAAAAACTATTACTCTCACAACATGTGTTTTAAAAGCCACTCAGACTCCTTAAAATGGGACTATTTAACATGTATTTTGACAAAACAAACAAACAAACAAAAAAACCCCTGTGATTGGGAAATGAATTATTATATTTTTCTTTTTAAAGTTTCTTGTAAAACTCTCCTTCCAATCTGAGAGAGTTAATTTCTCCAAAAAGCAACAAATAAGAATTCCCCTCCTTAGTTTCCCTTTCATATGATTCCTATTAGAAGAGTCAAGGCAACTGAATAATGTGCTGCTGTCAAGAATATTTTGATTGTTTCACATAAATATTACAGTATTGATTTGAAATTGTGGTAACTTAAAACTTGAATCCGTCAGTACAAATCCCTAATTATTCAAAAAGTGAATTAACATTTTAAGGGCCTGTTCTATGGGGCTATTCATGTGAGTAAAGTTACTCAGGTGCCTAATTCTTTGCAGGATCAGACCTTAAATCAGAGAGCTCTCCCATCAACATAATAAAACCACCTCCACGGCACCGAATTCACCCATACGGGACCCGGTGTTGAGTGTCTCCTCAGGCACTATGCCTCTGCCCTCAGCACCAACATCACAGTCGGCATTGGTTGAGAAAACCAAGTCGGCACCGATTGCACCAACTAAATTTTTCACTAGGCAGTTTTGGTCAAGGGTTTGGACAACCCCCTTCACCAGGCAGTGCTGTCACCTGATCAGTCCCCATGCTTTTGACACCACCTTCGCTCATTTCTCCACATCTGGATGGACATTAATAATAACGGACTAATGGGTGTTAGAGATCATACGATTGGGATATACCATCCCCTTTACCTCCTGATCACCTACCCTGTCCCATTCCCTGTCCCTCTTCAGGGATCCTTCTCATGAGCACCTGATACAAGAAGTCGATCATCTTTTACAGCTAGGTGCCATGGAACAAGTACCTTTGCAATACGTGAGGAAGGGGTTCTACTCCCACTTCTTGACACAGAAGAAGAATGGGGGATGGAGACTTATCTTGGATCTCAGGAAACTCAACATGTTCGTACACACTCAAAAGTTCAAAATGGTGACACTGGGCATGATACTTCCAGCGCTGCAAAAGGGGGACTGGTTTTCACCCCTCAACCTCCAAGATGCTTATTTTCATATTACTATTCACCCCGCTCACAGGAAATTCCTGGGTTTCACAGTAGGACACAAACACTTCCAGTACAGAGTACTACCGTTCGGCCTATCCACTGCACCAAGAGTTTTCTCCAAAACTCTAGCAGAAACAGGGAATAATGATTTTCTCTTACCTGGACGATTGCTTTCTCAAAGGCCCAACTCAACAAGAAACATTGGACTCAGTCCAGACGATTATCACACTATTCAGGGATCTAGGACTACAGATAAATGAATGAAAATCCACTCTAATCCCTGTCCAACAACTGGACTTCATCGGGGCACATCTCGATACTGTAGAAGCCAAGGCGTCCCTGCTCCTGAACAGATTCTCAACTCTGACAAGCCTTATCTCAGAGTCAGCCCCCAAATACCAGCTCATACTGTCCTGCAACTGCTAGGGCACATGGCAGCCACAACATTTGTGGATGGTTCCGTCCTAGCGAACTAGCCTGCTCAGAACAAGTTAAATGTGTTACTAAACAGCAGGAAAGTGACCATGTGGAATACTTACTTTCAAAAATGGAAGAGATTCTCCTCCTGGTGTCAAGTAAAACATTTCGGCCTCCACAGCACCATTAGTGTTGGAATACCTACTGGAGCTGAAACAAGTTTAGCATCAAGGTCGATCAAAGTCCATCTTGCTGCCATTACTGCGTTCCATCATGAGATTGATGGGAACTTGATCTTCACGCACCCAATTACTAAACGTTTCCTCACAGGTCTCCAGAACATTTACCCAGAAGTTCGCCAACCTACCCCGGCCTGGGACCTCAATCTGGTGTTGAAATGCATCATCAGACTGCCATTCGAATCCTTAGTCATCTGTTCCCTGCTACATTTATCCATGAAAGTGGCCTTTCTGGTCACCATTACTTCTGCAAGGGGTGCTCATGGCCAATCCCCCCTACACAATATTCCTCAAAGACAAAGTCATGCTACATCCGCATACAAAATGTCTACTAAAAGTAACATCAGCCTTTCATATGAACCAACCAATCCATCTGTTCTGTTCATTCCCTCTGAAGCACCTGGCATGAGCCACTGTCAGGGCAGGATGGTCCATTGGTCTGACCCAGTATGGCTGTTCTTATGGTCCCAAAAGATATAGCCTGTAATTGCTATATCTGTCACAGCAAATATATTCGTTAAATCAGTACTTTAAAAATTGAATTATAAAACAGTAGATGAAAAATTATGATAGACACAAACCATCATGGATTCTGCAAAGATTGTGCCACTTGAATCAACTAGAATTCTTGAAGTTGTCTGAAACAGAACAGATATAGGAATATTGCTTTATATTTTTTTTATGGACTTGCAAAACTGCTAAAGAAACTAAGTAGTCCCAGGTATAGTTTTCCTATGGCTTGGAAATTGGCGGGTCCATTTTCAGCATGACAAAGGGTAACAGTTGTGTACCCCAAGGATCCATACAAGGAATGCTGATGTTTAGTATATTAATGATCTGGAGAAGTGGATGAGCAGTGACATGGCATGATTTGCATATCACACACAATTATTTACCATTGACAAGACAAGACAAGACCATAGAGACCTAGCAGAGCTGCATAGATGGGCAGTATGATGACAGATTAAATTCATTGTTGCCAAATTCAGCGTAACAATTTGAACTCCTCATACACTTTGTTGGGTTCTGTATTAACTGTAACAAAAAAGTCCTGGGTGTCCTTATAGATAATTCAGTGTATTCTGTTCAGTAACTTCAGTCATCAAAATGCAATCAAAATGTTAGATGCATACAGAATTAAATAGAAAATACTGAAAATATCATAATGCCAATATATAACTCAATAGCATCCACCCATTGGAGTATGGTATGCAGATTGGGTCATGCAAGCCCCAACAACATATAGCAGAAATAGAAGGGTTCCAGTGGCTGGCAATACAAAAAATTAGGGACATGAAAAGGCTTCCTTATGATGTGGGATTGAAATAATAGGGACGTATTCCTGCAATCCTTTACTGAGGTGAGCAATCCTTTCTCCTGAGTACTTCATTTGACTTAAATCTAACTACTTGCTTAAGGGCTGTGTATCTGAGAAAAGTTTTGTGGGATCATATAACTCTTTTTCGATACCTAAATAACTTGCATTTTAGTGGAACGCTCAAAGTAAAAAATGACTGCATTCTTGCTGTCCCAAGGGCCTCCAGCAGATAACCAGCAGGATCGTTTTGTAGAGCAAACTATCCTCTTACCTTCAGCAGAAAACTCCATAGCAATTAATAAGAAATAAATTCTATATCTTGACTTCAAAATGAACTGAAATAAATATAGTATAAAGAGACTAAATGTCATGGAGGGATTTGGGGCAGTCTCTAATTTCTACAGTTCAGTGCTATCACTTACATTCAGCCCTTATGCAAACACACTGCTGTCAGACTTTTCTTTGCTCATGCCTATCCCTACCCTTCCCCATTCCTCTAGTCACATAGAATAGATGAGTGGTTTTCAAACTGCAGGTCGCAACCCACCCAGTACTGGGTCGCGGAATGTAAGGCACTGGGTCGCAGCAGCTCTGGTCAGCACTGCTGACAGGGCCGTTAAAAGTCCCATCAGCAGTGCTGCCTGGCTAAGGTAGGCTAATTCTGTTCTGACACTGCGCTACGCCCCAGAAGTGGCCAGCAGCAGGTCCAGCTCCTAGGCGGGGGGGCCACGGTGTTCCGCGTGCTGTCTTCCCTCCCCCCCCCAAGCACCAGCTCCGCACTCCCATTGGCCAGTTCCCAGCCAATGGAAGCTGCGGGGCGGTGCCTGTGAGCAAGACCTGCGCAGAGCTGCTTGCACGCCTCTGCCTAGGAGCCAGACCTGCTGCTGGCTGCTTCCGGGGCACAGTGTGGTTCGCGGTGCCAGGACAGGCAGGAAGCCTGCCTTAGC